TCTGACAAGCAATGGATAAAATATCCTCAGGTAAGGATTAAAAAAAAGAAGAAAATAACAAGTGTTACTAAGATGTGGAGAAACTGGGACCCTTGTACAGTGCGCTGATGGGAATGTAAAATGGCTCAGCCGCTGTGGAAAAGCTTGGTGGTTCTTCAATTTTCATATAACCCAGAAATTCAACTCCTAGGTACATAGCCGAAAGAACTGAAAACAGGTACTCAAAGAAATACATATGCACACATGGTCATAGTAACATTATTCACAATAGCCAAAAGGTGAAAACCACACAAATGTCCATCAACAGATGAATGAATAAGCAAATTGTGATATATCCATATAATGGAATATTATTCAGCCATAAAAAGGAATGGAGTACTGACACATATTACAATATGGATGAACCTCAAAGACATTATGCCACATATTATATGATTCCATTTATACAAAATATACAGAATAGGTAAATCCACAGAAACAGAACACATATCAGTAGTTGCCAGGGGCTGGAGGGTAGGAGGAGAATGGGGAGCAACTGCTTAATGCGCACCGGGTTTTCTTTTGGGGAGATGAAATGTTTTGGAACTAGATAGAGGCAGTGGTTGCACAACATTGTGAATGTGCTAAATGCCGTTGACTTGTTCACTTCAAAATGGTTCATTTTATGTTACGTGAGTTTTACTTCAATAACAAAAAGTGTAGATAAATCAATAAATCAGCTGACACTCAATGACTCCTCCTTCAATTTTGTTGAAGGGAAAGAAAGAGAAAGCACCTGACTTGCAGAAAGATGTCACTAGGTCACTTACTTTCTCAGAACCAGCACAGATTTTGGAACTGTCCCTTTGGTGCCCTGGCATTTTGACCCTCCTGAACTCCCCCTTGGGCCTGTGTCTTGGGTCAGGGAGGGTCTGGCAACAGGAGGAGGAAGGGGCCTCTGCTCCTCCTTCTTGGGGGCCCTCTCAGGCCCACCAGTCTCCCAACATCATATGGAAGCGTCAGATCTGAAAGCTGTTCCATCTATCCAGGTCCACCTACCCCTTGGACAGTCCTCTCGCACTACAGGGATGCACGTGCCCAGTCTGAAGACCGCTGCCTGGAGAAGCTTCCCATCGTGCCCAGAGAAGAGTAAAAGAGAGCTCACAGCAGTATTGTGGTGGCAACCACCTGGTAAACAAATCAAATGTCCATCAACAAGACAAGCAATTCATAAATTGTGGTGTGAGCATGCAATAGAAAGTAAATGAATGAATTTCAGCTATGTAAGTCAACAAAATCATAATGTTGAGTTTAAAAGCCAGCCCCAGAAAAACACACAGAGTATGGTTCCATCCATGTGAAGATCAAACAGGCAAAGCTAAAAGGTACGCTGTTTAGGAATGCCTACAACACGCAGAGATAGTGAAACCATGAGATAAGCAGGATACTCAGGGTAGAGGTCTCTGTGCAGAGGGAGAGGGATGCAGTCGGCCTGGAGCACACAAGATGTCTAAGGTCCTGAGAATCTCTTTCTTAAGCTGTGGTCAGGGACCCAGGTGTCCTGTTTCATTTGTCTTTAGCTATATGCTAACTTTATACCTTCTTCTAAGTGTATATAGTCACAACAGATATTTTAGGAGAGAGGGTGCATGTAGAGACAGTGAAAAGGTATAGACACTGGCAATGCTTCTGTCTCCTACTCATTCCTTACAACCCTGGTCAGGTTTTATTTCTCAAGCACACTAGGAATCCTGAATTTATCTGTGAATTTGACACCATATTAGGGTATTTGGTACGTCCAGCCTAGGCTGGGAGGGCTCCTCATCTCACACTGGCAGAAGTTGGTGACCAAGGGCCAAGAATCTGGATATCCCTACATGGGGTGTGTGAGAAAACAGCCCTACAACATCTCCCCACCAGCCTATACAGGAAAAGACAGACTCGTGCACTATTGTTTCCATATAAACCTGTAACTAGATGGACTGGGCACTTGAAGACTCTCAACTCCACCTGCCACCAAGGACCACCTCGTCTTTTCTTTTTCTTTTTTTAATGTCTTTATTGATTTCAGAGAGAGGAAGGAAGAGGGAAAGAGAGAGATAGAAACATCACACCCCGTCCTGTATGCCCCCTATAGGGATCGAGCCCAAATGCAGGCATGTGCCCTGACCAGGGATTCCAACGGTGATCTCCTGGATCACAGGTCGATGCTCAACCCCTGAGCCACGCCGGCTGGGCAGGACCCCCTGTCTTAAATTCTAAGCTGAGATTAGGTCCTCCTGTCCCATTCACACTCCCAGGGAAAAGGAATAGCAAGAAGGGGACAGGATACAAAACCTTACAAATTTAAATTCTTACCTTGACAGCTTTTCATATTTCTGCTCTCACTGGACTATGAACTATTCTTTTTTAAGAATTTTTTATTGATTTTTAGAAAGAGAGGAAGGGGGGGAGGAGAGAAATATCAATATGTTAATGAAACATCGATCACTGCTTCTTGCATGCCCCCTACTGGGAATGGAGCCCACAACCCAGGCATGTGCTCTGGCCAGGAATCAAACTGTCAACCTTTTGGTGCACCAGACGATGTCCAACCAACTGAGCCACACCAGCCAGGACCAAATTATTCTTTTGAGAAGTTTGACAATGAGAAAAAGAAAGGGGGGGACGGGGGGGGGGTTGCAGGCTCAATCCCCAGTCAGGGGCATGCAGGAGGCAGCTGATCAATAACACTCTCATCATTTATGGTTTTTTTCTCTCTCTCCCTCTCCCTTCCTGTCTCTGAAATCAATAAAGATATATTTAAATATATATAAAGGGAAAGGCACAGAATCAAGGCACCACCTAAACACTGCAGCATCCCTTGAGTTCAGGAGTTCAGTTTAAGTCAGGAACAAACTTTTTATGGGTGGATGCTGGCTGGGCTGAATGGGAATGACTTCAACAGTCAAGCATTTATTGCATGACTTTTATTTGCAAAACATAACCCACGACACAATTCCTGCAATCGAGATGTTTACTTAGGGAAACCAGATTGTGAATGCATTATATAACAAAGCAGTTTCATCACAATTGATGTATATGGAAGACGCTGTAGTATCCTGGAATATGTAGTAAATCCAATTGGGAGGAAACAGGGGCTTCCTCACCTGGACTTGGTGGGTGGGTGGGGAATGTGGGCATGAGAGGTTGAGGAGGGGCATTCTTCAAGGTGCTCATAAATGCTGGTACTGAAGCTGTGGAGGCTGCAGCTTAGCTTGGGAGTGACAGCGAAGGCGGAGGTGGGGAGTTGAGGGAGGTTTCGTTTAGGGTGGTGGAGCTCTGGCCTTGTCAATTTGGTGGAGGGACGCTTGTAGTTGGGAAGATTAAAAGTAGTAGAATCCTACTGACATAAATAATCACATAATTAGAAGTAGTAATACCAGGGCTACTTGTGCAGTAGGTGTGAAGTGGGTGGGCAAGGGCTTCGACAGCTCAAGTGGAAGGGTGGAGGGCGTCTGCCTTGGCAAGAAGTTGGGGTCAATTCTGAGAATGGAGAGAAGGGGGGTCGGTGGGACTTTACAGATGAGACGGGGAAAGCTGAGGGCACTGCACCGTCTGGCCTGGAGGGCTGGGGCGGTTACTATCTGCAGAAGAGCTGGGAAAACAAAGTGTGGCTGCGGGAACCGTGAAATACCCAACACGGGATGAACGCGCGGGCAACAGGAACCAAGAGCTGCGAGCCGCGGGGCAGCCTGGGCCCGGGGCCCTGGGAGGGG